GGCCCGGCCGGGCCCTCCTCGTCCCTGGGGGCCCGGGGACTGGGCCCGCGAAGCACCTGTCTGCACCTGGGACTTGAGTGGAGGCGTCGGAGGAAAATGATCTTTGACAAATGCTTTTCATGGGCCGTTTTCTACGCTGCCATGTCCCGTGTTGGGGCGTCGGAGTGGCATTTCCCAAGGAAGTAAGGAAGCCAGTCTCAGGGGCTCTGCCTTGCCTTGAAGGCACCCTGCCTCCAATGGGCGAAATATTCTTAAAATGGGAGGTTTTGTTTCTTTAAGAAAAAATAAAACAAAAACACAACACACGAACGTGGGGTGGTGTTTACCTGTCAAGAAAACTCGTGTGGAGGTGCAGTTGTATGCGGTGAATGCTGAGGCTGTCGCTTCCTTTTTATTTTCTTTTTATTTGCTATACCAGTCTCTTTTTTTAAATAAATATTTATTGTTGAAAGTATTACTTATGCCCCTTGTCGTTTACTTTGAACTGTCGGTAAGAGGTCGTGAAGGGACTTTGCGTAAAAAAAAAAAAAACCCAGGTAAAGGAGGTATGTGGCTGAAGAGTGCACATTGGAAAACTGTTTGCATTATTTTTTAAAATTTTTAATTTGCATTATTTTAAAAAATTTTTAATTTAAGTTTTTATTTTTATATGAATTTTATTGATGTCAGAGAGGAAGGGAGAGAGAGAAACATCCATGATGAGAGAGAATCGTGGATCGGCTGCCTCCTGCGCGCCCCCTACTGGGGATGGAGCCTGCAACCCGGGCATGTGCCCTTGACCGGGAATTGAACCCTGACCCCCTGGTTCATAGGTCGAAGCTCAACCACTGAGCCTCCGCAGCCGGGCTGATGTAGCTATATTCTGTATACATATTTAAATATTCTTGAAATGCCTTAAGCTAGGTACAGAAATAAGGATTTGCCGTATCCGATTTTTAAAAAATATATATATTTTATTGATTTTTTACAGAGAGGAAGGGAGAGGGATAGAGAGTTAGAAACATCGATGAGAGAGAAACATCGATCAGCTGCCTCCTGCACACCCCCTACTGGGGATGGAGCCCGCAACCGAGGTACATGCCCTTGACTGGAATCGAACCCGGGACCCTTCAGCCCGCAGGCTGACGCTGTATCCACTGAGCCACACCGGCCAGGGCTGTATCCGATTTTTAACTTGTTTCTTTGGTTGCCCGTTGTGAAACCCACCGGTCTCTTGTTGTCGTAGGGATTCCGATCTCAATTTCAAGACCGTGTGTGTGTTTTTTTCAATTAGGACTGTTTCTACTGAGTAATAACTATTTCCTAAATAGGGGATGTATTTTTATGAAATGGTTATTAATTTAATCTTCTAAATACGCCTGACAAATTTAGCTGTTATGAGAGCAATCTATGGGGGTTCAATGCATGACTCCCTTTTTTAGTATCTGCAGTGGCTGCATGTGCTTAACGGGGTCGCCTGGCAGTGCTGTCAGCAGTACTATAACCATCCGCTGGTCTTTCCCCTCCTCAGAGATGGACCGGTTCTGACAGGATGTAGGGCTGCCGCGTGCCCGATGGGATCTGCGCAGCCATGGCGTCCGAGCTCGGCAAGACCATCTCGGTGGCAAGGCTGGAGAAGCACAAGAACTTGTTCTTGAACTACAGGAATCTCGACCACTTCCCGCTGGAGTTACTCAAAGGCGAAGGGCTCCAGTTCCTGGAGAGACTCTATATGAAAAGGAACTCTCTGACCACCTTGGTACAGTATTCTATTGCGTTCTTTAAAAAAATAAAATAAAATAAAACCCTTTAGGACGTGGTCCGGACCAAGGTGCGCTTTCCCTGTCTTAAGACCGTCAGACTGAAATGGGTGTCCTCTCTTATTGTGTGAGCAGGTGCTATCAATCCACATCCGGAGGGTCCTCGTGAGCTGAGACTGTGTTACTCAGGACCCCGCAGTTGTGTGGTGACAGGAGGA